ACAACTTCTGTGCTACTCCTGAGAAATGTCCAATTACTAGGTAGAGGTGCAGAGGAGGATGTGAACGGTCAGGGCAGATAACTCATCAAACGTGAAAGCTTTGCCAGAGGTTTATAATGTAGTATAAAATAGAAATATTCCAAGAGCTATTTCAATTTAGCGTCAGTAACAGATAACCCATTAATTCAGCTGGAGAACTTATTCGATCTAGAAATGGTGGAGAATATTTGTAGCTCACTTGGTAGATGTTAGTGGTAGTTTGTTCTCCAAGCTTGTTGTTTAGTTTCTGAACATTTCATCATCAGGCTAGGTAACATCATCATGAGCAACTGACCATGTAAGACCTATAACAGCAGAAGAGAACTGAAACAAGAAGTTTCTCTGATGATGTTACCTAGTCTGGTGATGAAATGTTCAGAAACTAAACAAGCTCGGAAAACAAACCGCCACCAACATATTTGGATCTGTTTTTATAATGCTTCTTTTTTAAAGATGACCAAATGTAATAACTGCTCTATAAATAATTGTTCCCAGGACAGAATTCGTGATAGATGTAATTGGTCATACAGGAGTGAGATAAGGGTCAGGTCTACTGAAATTCCCATTTCTATATACTTATTTTAAAAAAGACTTTGCCCTTAGACATCCTTTCTCTGCCTTTCCCTCAGACCAGGAATGGATAACCAGTAGTCCTCCAGATACGGTTAGGCTTCTACTACCATCAAATCCACCTGCTATGACTAATGGCAGGATTGATGTGAAGTGCAATCCAATATTTGAAGACCATTAGTTCGCCATCCTTGTATTAAATTTAAAAAGCTGCCACCATTCTGACTGAATGCAGTTGTGGATTCAACAATATCTGAGTTAAAAGTCAATATATTAACTCAGCATTTCTGAAACTGTAGGAATAGACTAATGGTGGAATTCAAAAACATTTACTACCAGTTCTGTTGGTGCAGCTTGGTGAGTGTGGCATGGCTTGGTGGGCGTGGCAGGGGAAGGATACTGCAAAATCCCCATTCCCTCCTGATCAGCTGGGACTTGGGAGGCAGAGAATAGATGGGGGCAGGGCCAATCAGAGGTGGTATTTACCAGTTCTCCTAACTACTCAAAATTTTTGCTAACGGTTTTCCAGAACTGGTCAGAACCTGCTGAATACCACTTCTGAAATAGACCTAGCTTTAGATGGACAATTCATGGAACTCGCTTGCTTTTCCCTAATAGTCTGCCACTGGATATAACCATTGATCTCAAGGTACACGGATGAAATAAAAGTGTTTAAATGGTTGATGTTTTCAATAAAGTATGAGTAAGAATTTACTTTCCTTTTCAATATCCCAGTTCCCAAGATCCCAAGTTTGTGTTTCTTCCACAGGTAGTTTTTCTGAGCTTTTCTGTCCCCACACTGCCACTACTTCAACATGGCTTCCTCCATGATTTTCAATTGGGCCTCTGGGGAAAAGGTTTGAGATCCCTCCAGTTAACTGACAAATGATCTCATTAGTTATATTAAATAGTTCCCATTTCTTTTCTTTTTTTCCCCTTCCTTCTTAAACATTTATCTTTGCAATTTGTCAGTTTATCCTTCTTACTACAATTATGCTATCTCTTCAGCCGGTTGTTGTGACATTTTGTGAAAAGACAGTATTTGTTCTCTGCTTCAAGTGTTCTGTCATCTCTGACTGGGTCCCCTCCTTTCATTTTTTTTACTTTCCCATTTTGCTTCTGAGCCTTGGGAAAAGGTCAGACACGTTCCATCCATTCTGAAGTCTGGACAAGCTTCATTATATTGCACTATCACCAGTAAGACCCTGAACAGACCCAATGAAGGAGTTCACCATTCCACCTCAATTACAACATGCAAGCATGGCCACAGTCAAACACAATTAGTGTACTAATTACTCTCTGAAAAATGACTCATCTAGCTTTGCTGCTAATTACAAGTGGCAAACAAGGTTCAGGGCTGCAAAAACCGCATTGTTTTAAACAATGTTCTTCTTCACTTGCCTGGCCTTTTCCAGAAGTATCTGTATATCTCATGTTTTCTTTTTCTTTTACAATGAATCACCAGTGTATATAAAATGTAATGCATTTTAAAATAAGATTAGACACCAAAAAAAATTTATAGCAAAGCAACAAATAGTCAAAATAATGCAAGTTCTGAAGATTGCTTTAAAATATCTCCTTCCACAATCCCAGCTGGCCATTACAGTAGAACCTCTGGTCTACTCTATGGAACCTCTGGACCATAATTCATTCCATAACTTTGGTCTCACATCGATTTGGTTGTGACCCGAACCTAATTTTGGAAATTTGGCAGTTACAAAAAAGAAATGGCATGGAAGGAGAAATCAGCCGCGAAAACAAACCAAAAAAATGATTTTTTTTGTCAGAACCCAATTTGGTCATGGTCAGAAGCGCTCATGACTAGAGGTTCTACTGTATTTGTCCCTAAAGTAAATCTCAGCTGGCGTTTCTAAAAAAAATGCTTTCAAAAAATATGGTGGCATCATCAAAACATCTCTATTCCAAATTTCATTTGCTAAACCAGGGGGCTCCTAAACTCTTTGCCATAATCCTCCCTTTACTAATGTACACACCTCCCCTGAAGATCCAAATATCAAAATGAATATAAATAAACAATGAAAACAATACAGAAAAAAATGTATTTTTAATAAAGACGTTAAAAAAGAGACATTTGTGACTCCTCCACCATGATACTCACTTTGAAAGTAGCATTTTAAGAAGAGTGTATTGTTTGGTGCAATATGTGCAACAATGTACAACTAAAACATTATTCACACCTTCCCTGGACTCTGAAGCAAGGGGGCTAATAATACCTGACAGTTTAGGAGACTTTGCGCTAAAGAGATGAATGATTTTTTCCAATCAAGATTTTGTGGTGTTGTCTATATTAGCTCCTTATGTTGAAACAGCGACCAAATATATTAGAAGTAAAAAAGAAAGTTTGAAGTACAAGCTTTATTCTAAATACAGAAAGCACAAGTCTCTCTAAGCCATTTGCTATCTGTCTTCCAGGATAGCTTTTCATTAGATTCCAAAAATTCAGAAATACAAAAAATAATAGTAAGAGAGGCATATTCATTTGAGCTCTTGACTGCATCAGGCATATGCCATGTGTTTGAATTAGTGACTATACTTGATAATAGCATTGCTTTCCTTTTCAAGGTTCAACAACCTGCTTTGTTCCCATTTATCTTTGCAATCTGACTCAAGTTCCCCTCACATACCCAACACATTGGAATCTTGCAAGACCACCTAGATGTCACACAAAACCATCAAAATCTCCTGAAAACTATGAAGATTTTAAATTAATCTTCCAGATCTGGTGGCATCTTGAAGTGTTGCTAAACTTTGATCTACTTGGCAGCAATTAAGAAACCACACACATAGTTTCAACAACCTGCTGGTATTCTTATCATTTTATCAAATACTCATGATCTGAAATAGGTTTGGAATAAGAAAAAGTCTTTCCGTGTAATGCAAAAGTGCTTGGAACAGATGGACATTCAAACCAGGGAATTATTATTTTTTTACACTATGGAAGGGTTAGAATGATAGCAGCAAGATTACAATCAAGAGGCCATTATATGTGTTAAACCAGGCATGTAATCACAAGCAGCTTTCTCCAAACGTTTTAAGACTGTACTTCCTAGAATTCCACAAATCCTACTTGGCTTGAAATTCTGGGAAATGTAATCCCATCAAGTATGGAGAAGGCAGGACACAAGTATTTAAAAAGAAGCAGCTGCATTGAAAAACAGCCACCCTGTCACTTGAAAGTCATTCCCATATCCAAACTGTTTTAAGACAAAAGTCTGTATGTGTGTGTGTGTNCTGGAGGCTAAAGCCTATGAAGAACGGTTGCAGGAATTGGGTAGGTCTAGTTTACTGAAAGGAAGGACTAGGGGAGATGTGAGTTAATCCCTAGGTTTAATGAGAGGTTAGATTCCAGTGCAATTGTTCAAAGGATAATGATGACCACTCTTTCAGTGAACAAGAAGAATGCCACAAATGGAGGATAACACAGGTGAAAGTAAAAATAAGAAACAATGCAGTGTGTTAATGCGATTTCCAGTTTACACAAGGAATGATGTAGGTGGAAAATGCATTTTTGGTTGGGATATCTGCTATCTCAAACTCAACAGTCTGTGAAATAGAGAATGCAGTTAAACTGTGATGAAGAACTTTGTAATTTTTGACTTTGCCTCTGCAGGGGTCCTTCTTCTCAGGATGATTTATTATGTCACTCACATCAGATTGTGATCTCTTTGATACCTCATTCACTGGTAAGTAAAGAAAGCTTGGATCCATGATCTCAAACCTTACTTATAGACCCACTGGTGACTGGCCAAGTTCAACCAATGAATATAATTCCTAATACTGATTTATTATATGTACAGGTAGTCCTTGACTTCCAACCACAATTGAGCCCAACATTTCTATTGTTGAGACATTTGTTAAGTGAGTTTTGCTCCATTATACAACCTTGTTTGCCACAGTTGTTAAGTGAATTGTTGCAGTTGACAAGTTAGTAATCCACTTGTTAAGTGAATCTGCCTTCCCCATTGACTGCTTGTCAGAAGGTCGCAAAAGGTAATCAAAGCAATGGTAATAAATCTGAACCAGTTGCCAAGCATCTGAATTTTGATCATGAGGATGCTTCAGCAGTCGTAACTGTGAAAATCTTATGACAGCACTTTTTTCAGTGCCATTGTAATTTTGAATGGTCACTAAACCAACTGTTGTAAGTCAAGGACTACCTGTATATGGAGCCAGATTTCCTGACAGAGACATCATTTGCAGCAAGATATTAATAAGACTACATTGCCCTGGGAGCTAACAATACAGTGCAAGACAACAACACAAAGCAATATTGAGGTTTAACGTAGGAAACTGAAAGACAAAGCCATGCATTAACACTGGCCACTTCATAAATCTCCTTTTAGCACTATCACTGAAGACCAGGGTCCCACCTGCTTCCTATCCCTTGTTGTCTTTTCTGGGAAAGAGGAGACATGTTCTGTCTGCGAGGAAATAACTAACACACTGACAATCCAATTTATGGTTCTTCACAAGTTGTGATCGTTGGAATCTGTCTGTTGGTTTGCTGAAGACACGTTTCAAGTCCTGAAATACACAAATGTTAGTTAGAGATAATGCTACAATTTCCTCCTTACATATTTGTGCCCATTCTAAGCATGTGTTATTATCTGAAAGGGTTACAGGTTGCAATGGTTCTCAAAACCTATTCGCATTGTACTCCAGGGGAGAAAAATTAAAATAAGGAGGAGGGAACCCGGGGGGGGGGNGCACAAAAGCCTAATTTCTCCCTTCTGTTTTTTCATATATAAAGGTAAAGGTTCCCCTCGCACATATGTGCTAGTCGTTCCCGACTCTAGGGGGTAGTGCTCATCTACATTTCAAAGCCGAAGAGCCAGAGCTGTCCAAAGACGTCTCCATGGTCATGTGGCCGGCATGACTAAACACCAAAGGCACACAGAACGCTGTTACCTTCCCACCAAAGGTGGTTCTTATTTTTCTACTTGCATTTTTTACATGCTTTCAAACTGCTAGGTTGACAGAAGCTGGGACAAGTAATGGGAGCTCACTCCATTACGCAGCTCTAGGGAGTCGAACTGCTGAACTGCTGACCTTTCTGACCGATAAGCTGAGAGTCTTAGCTGCTGAGCCACTGTGTTCCCTTTTTTCATATATATGTTCCCTCAAAGGGCATTGCCTCCCTCTATGACAGCAGCACAGCCTCTTTTCATGACCTAGTAATAAAATCAAGATGATCCGCATCCTGTCTGCAACAAATCTAGCTTGCACCATTCAGATGAGGAAAAGGTATTTGTTGAGTATAGTTGTGGTCAACATGAAGCCAGTTGAAATACAGTTGATGATATTCCAAAAGTACAACAGCTGGACTCAACACAGAGGCCTAAATAAACCAGGCTGCAACTGAGCATCTTTCTATAGGTATCTGAATGGCTGGCAAAAAAAAAAAGTCATGGTGGCCTGAACTAGATGAAAGGGAAGGCCAACTACGGGACACTCTTTACATGATAAAGAAACCCCAAAGAACAGAATCTAAGCACAAACATTAACATATCCAGCCTTCCACCTACAAAAATCATTAAAGTTTATAGTAGAATATTGACATTTTATGCCAGCTAAAACAGAATGCAATAGAATGTTATGGAGTTTACAGAGTCCTGCGTATTAATGTTAAGTTTTTACAGCACGCATGGGAACCTAAGACTCTTGCTGAACTGCCAGCAGCCTTAGCCAGAATGAAAAATAACACATTTTTTTTTGCTATTACACCAATATGCACACAATTTTTATTCAGGAGCTGCAGGTGGGTCATAGATTTCCCACTTCTGGTTTAAAGTGTAACAATGACAATGTTGTTGTAGTCCTAGTAATCTGAAGAGACTGATGAAGGAAGAAACTGAGCCGAGGTGGCGCAGTGGTTAGGGTGCAGTACTGCAGGCTACTTCAGCTGACTGTTATCTGCAGTTCAGTGGTTCTAATCTCACTGGCTCAAGGTTGACTCAGCCTTCCATCCTTCCGAGGTGGGTGAAATGAGG